TCCCGTCATTGTGTTATTGTGCTATGGTAAATTTTTGCATTCTTGTTTTTCGTTTTTGCTTATGTGCTTTGTCTATATGCCTTTTCGTTTTTCTTTGTTGAAATATTTGTTTTGTTTTTATAGTGACTAAGAGTATAACACAATGATGACTGCTGTACCCTTATGTTTTGACATTTTTATCTATTATGTCTGTTTGTTATGTTCACACATCGTCGTCAATATAATGGAATTTTATGCGACTGTCATACATGTGAGAGGTTAAGCTGGCTATAAAACCAGGTCTAATCCACCATTTTCTACAGAAAAAATTCCTGTACCAAGTCAGGAATATGACAGTTGTTATCCATTCGTTTGATGTGTTTCAGTTTCTGATTTTGCCATTTGATTAGTGGCTTTCCGTTGTAGAATTTTCCTCAAAGTCCCGTATTTTTGTTATTTTGCTTTTATAATTTAGATAGTCACTGCTCTTTTAAACTTTTGAGATAATAATTACAAAAACAGAAAGCGCTGCTTCTGTTTCACATAGATTATTTTCTCCGTATGTCCATGATTGACTCTGTCGATGATATCGTGAGCGGCATCACTTGTAAAATGTGTAAAAACGTCTACTTAAAAGTTGCAAAACGTATCAGCTAGTCAAAAAGTAATTTTTGTTCTACTTTTTTTTTCTACCAAACTATATATCTGTTGTTTTATTTTGAACCAGTCTATGATGAATTAAAGGAGATGTGGGGTTATACGCCCATGCTATAGTATCCCAACTACAAAACTAACCAAACGATATCAAGAGGACACAATAAGTCTTCAACCATCCACGAAACAAAGAGTTAACGCGTGACATGGACAACAGTTAAAAATTATTTGTTTTATAAACTATTAGTAAAATTAAAATACAAAAAAAAATACACACAAGTTCAGAATTTAAATATATGAAAAATCACAATTCCGAATCAGAATGAAGCCGATTAAATGTCCACTTTTATCAATTATTATTACGAACCGAATAAAAATGATTATGTTTTTGTAATATTGTATAATACATTGGTTTTCTCATTTAATTGTTTTTTACATATAATTTTGTCGGAGCCTTTTATAGCTTGCTAAAAGGTATGGATTTTGTTCATTGTTGAAGGCCGTACGACGACATATAGTTGCTTACATCTACGTCATTTTGGTCTCGGGTGGATAGTTATCTCATTGGCAATCAGACCGCATGTATTTAATATATATAATACTACATTGAATGTGCGTATATATGTCCTTTTGTATTCCAAATAAAACGATTTAAAAAAGAGTAATTCAATATATATAATGTCTGTTTATTTTGATCGTTACTCTTCCTTCATTCACGAATAGAATCACATAAGTGAACCATGTTCAACATGAAATAAACCATGACACGAATGAACCAAACTATGACACCGAATATTCTGTAATCTCAAATTGTGTGCACTAGGGGCAGTTTTTCGGGATAATTGACAGCAGTTTTATATCATAACAAAATATGTGATGTAGCAGACAGTTAGCAAACCACTTTTCTTTATGCATTAGAAACAAATCACAACTTTTAAATTTTGACATACGCAAGCATTATTCTGTGTCAAATTTATAACTATATGATACAAATTTTGATGTGCTAACATATTAGCTATAAACAAAGATGCTTACCAGCTTGAATTTGTTGTCATTAGTTCCTTTAACAAACTATTCAAATGTTTATATTTTGACACTGTTTGTCATCAAAAACACAACCATGTTCATCTTAACCAAACTATGACAAAATCACTGTACTAAACGCTTCTCGATATGACGAGTTTACTACCAGTGAACATGCATGCATTTTTATTACATTATCAGTTATATGTGTTTGTTCAACAAAACCGTCGGATAAAACAAACAAGAGGCTGTCAGAGAGAGAGCAAATCGGATTTTCCTGCAGAGGTCAAACCCTGAACAGTTGAGCAAGTATAGACACAACATTTAACCTTAAAACAACTCTGAATTTGAATTGTGATTGAATATTTGAAACAGCATGGGGACGTATTATGGTATACCGTAGTCCGTCCGTCCGTCCATCCGTCCGTCCGTCGTCAACAGGTCGGACATTATCTCAAAAATGCTTCAACCAATTTGCATACAACTTTGGTGAATTGTTTATATCTATTGACGTGTGAGCTCCCTTTTGTTTTTTTATAAATTTTAGATTTTACGTTTCCGAGTTATGGTACACAATTTTTTAATCTTTCAAGAACCGTAACTCAATTTTTTAATCTTTTAAGAACCATAACTCCTGATCGGTAAAAGTGAAAATCGTGAATATCAAACTTGACCTCCATTTTTTCATCAGTAACAACATATTAAAATTAAATAAGCACTAGAACACACCCGCGAAATCGCGGGCATTTAGAGCGTGGTTGAAAGTATGTAAACTGCTGTAGGATGAATTTTTGTAAATGATTTTATTGCTGGAGAATTTCAGGAAAGGTATCAAAAGTATCTTAAACATGAACTGATGTCAATATAACATTTTGAATTTTTCACCAGTTGAAAATATAAGATGTAAATCTAAAGAATGTCAACGCAAAAGTCAACTATTTGTAGTAACATGAACGCACAATTTTTAGGAGGCGAGTTGGTTTGTCACCATGCTTTTTGTTTCGTTATGCAGAAGACAGAATAATCGATATGTTAACCTTTTCAATTTTAGTCACTCGAAACGGATTCAACTAATGAAATCAGATTATTATGTGAAATTTACAAATAAGATTGGAATTATGAATTGAGCCATGAAATCAGATTATTATGTGATATTTACAAATAAGATTGCAATTATGAATAGAGCCATAATAAAATACTCAATAAACAATGCGATTTGTGCACAATTCGTCATATTTTACTGAAATCTGGAAATGGCGTCAGACTTAATAACGTGTTGACTTTTAAGAAAGCTAATTGATTCTAATATGGGGTGCTTATTACGTCAAATGAATAGAGCCATAATAAAATACTCAATAAACCACAACCACTATAAATCGACGACGTCACAATGCGATTTGTAAACAAAAACGCCATATTCTACTGAAATGGCGTCAGAGTTTTCAGTGGGAAACTTTACCAAATTGGAATCAAAATAATTCATGCATTCCATAGAATTGTTTTCATTTTCACATTGCCTGGGTCATTATATTCGTTAATTTTATCCCTTGCTTACGCTAGGAATAAAATTTCAATAAAACGACCCAGGCAAAGTGAAAATTTTCAACAAATCTATGGCTTGCATGAATCATTTCTTTTAAAATGAAACATGATTATATACCGGTTCCAGGGGTCCCAAGAAATTGTATTTTTATCGCTTCCAGTGACCAAAGGAATGTTTGATACCGGTTCCTGTAGCTCAGGTACCCAAAACATTGTATGTGATCAAGTAAGGAATTAAGGGTTGTTTGTAAATTTAATAGTAAATGCAACGACATGACTGGAAACGCCATTTTTCAATCTTTCAAGAATCATAACTCCTGAACAGGAAAAGTGAAAATCGCCATTATTAAACTTGACCTCCATTTTGTCATCAGTAACAACATATTAATATTTTAAAAGCTTTGGTTGAACGGTTCATGAGTAAATGCACGGACAACATTTGGTTGCCACCCGCCCGCCCGCCGTACATCCCCAAATCAATAATCGATATTTTCGTCGAAAATCCAGTTAAAAATCGCAAAAATATTTTATTGTATGATTTACTTTTATTACTATAATCATATCAGGAATCCATAAAATATAAATCGTACATTTCAATTTAAAAAGTTGCACGGCTGATCACTTTAATTTCTTAATTATTAGTTGGTTAATAGCTACGCAAGATAGTCATCGAGGCGCTTTAAATCGCGTTATTAGATGATTAACGAACAAGACTTAAAATGAGATTTATTTCACTCCCGGCATGCAATTAAAAGTACGTCACAGTTGACAGGAAGTTCGACAAAATAAAATTAATAATTTCCAATGTTCTTCTTTTATTAGTGTTCATAATCAGATAAAAATTGGTGAATATGTTTTTTATGTTATTATGAACAAGATAAGATGATAAGTTAAAAATCGCCAATTTTCCCTTTAACAATAGAACGTGATTAAAACGTTCAGCTGATTTTACAAGTTATCTACGTTCATATCCGTAGATATGGATATTTTAACACCCTGAAGTATCCAAGTACACCCCGAGTCTCAGCCGAAGGGTGTACAGTGTACTGAAGGGTGTTAAAATATCCATATCTACGGATATGAACGTAGATAACGAATTTATCCCCGGTCTTAGTCTAAATCTGGCGAATTTTAGAGAAATTCGACCACAAAGTTCAACGTGAAAGCAACGTTTTTTTTTATTTTTTAAATATCTTTTATTAAAATTTTAGAATTTGACATATTTTTAACGGGATGTAGGGTACTACCCTATAGGTAAACAAATATAAGACGTTTTTAATCTAGAGACAGAGAAACTGAAATGGGTCGAATTTGGCGCTCAATGTTGTGAGAGTTACATCATAGACGGGTTGACGTCAACGTGGGTCATTTGCATAGCTAGGTCAGTAGTCCCATTCATTGACAATGTGGCAGCATAGTGATGGATTTACTTAAATAAGTGCAAATAATCGACATAATAAGATAAAATTGTTAGTGGATTAAGTATCTAATTATACAGACATCATGGATAATCTACAGAATTCGATATTTCATAAGGAACGACCATGGAACTAAGAAAAACGCGCGTCAAGTTCCCCGATGTAATGGATAGCAACATCCGGGGATATGGGTTAGCAACACCCAGGGGCTATGGGTTTTGTAACGACGTGCGCTAACCAATCAAAATCATAGAAATATACTAAGCCGGGGATAATTACACACCTCCCTGTAGTGTTGTGAACCACATTAAACTAATGAAAATACTGCTAAAGGACTGACATCAGCTTTTTAAACACTAGTCTTGTATTGATAAAAATGCTTACAATGATTTGGGACCTTCTGTGCCAATTTCTTTACAAAGTCGTTTTCCGCTTTGGTTTCGATTTCTACAAGGTGTGCGTCTTTCCTTTCGCATGCCGCCTGTAAATGAAATGTTGTTCAATTCTATTGCTTTGATGCTGATCTTAAATTTAAATATTTAAAAATAGCAGCTTGTAAACTTAAAGACAAATCCTTCTATTCCGATCTACCAATAAGATATCCTTTAAATTTTCCTTTCGCTTTAGGCTAAGTAAAAGCTATAAAATTGGCTAATGAAAAAAATAGGGTCACCAACCTAGTTTTCAATTTAAAAAAAACGCCATCTTTTCATAGATTGTAATCGGAACTTGTAGTAACTGACAGTTTAATATTTTATAAAAAGTCTGAACCACATAAATTTTTTTTTTTTTGTTAACCTTGTAATAAAAAAATTCCAGTTGCCATTCCCCAGCCTCCTGCAAGTATTCGCTAACTCGCTGCAGACTTGCAGCGAACACAGAGTCTGTATTTGCGCATGTTAATTGTTTGCTGCAAATGTGCTGCAGGTCTGCTGCAAACAGTTTACCAATCCAATGAGTGTTTACTGCATACCTGCTGCAAACATATTTATGCAAATTAATATTTCTCCTGTGTGTTTGCTGCAGACCATCGGCAAACATTTATATGCACATTAATCTTTCTCCTGCGTGTTTGCGGCAAACTTGCAGGAAATACATACATTATACAATTAACCAAAATGAATGTTGTGTACACATGACATTATCTATATTACACAGCCAGTGTGAATTCTGAAAAAGTTAAGTTACAATACATACAATAATTCAAATACTTCATCATTTGAAAAATTATCATAGCATAAGTAAATACCTTTTAAGACATAAGGCAAAAAAAAATACATGTGTAAATGATCAGGTGTTTCCACTAACGTGCTGAAAAAATAGGGTAGGTAGGTTGGCAATATCATTTTATTTTACCAACATTTTTTAGCTGGTTACTACTAAGGAATCAGTCTGACTTTAACAGTGCTTGTTCCAAAATGGCATGAAAAGTGTTAGGGTAGGCACTAAAAATTAGGGTAGGTAGGGTTAGCGGAAACACATCTATTATTTTGTTCGGCTTTGTATTTAAAGTTTTGTTGTTGTTGAACTTGAATCGCTCAAATGAATTGAATATCTAAAGTACAAAAGAAGGGTGTATTTAATTGAAATGCATTTTGTGCATACACTATTACAGCTAGCAAGTATTTGTCTAGGGGACGAATTTCATAAGTTACTAACCCGATTAATTCAGTCCCTCCCCGTAATCGACTTCTCCTACTTGCGAGGTTAATTGAGTAATCGTAGATCGGTGGAATATAACGACTGAATTATTCGGGTTATAAGTTTATAGGATTATGGGGAATTTCTACTTACAAAGACGTTACGCACGATATTGCGTCTCAATTGGTAACGTTCGTCAAAATTTGACGTTTTATGCCAGTAATCGAGGATACTTTGTTCGTTTTGTCGGTAATCTTTTTTGATCGATATGGATACTTCTAAGTCTTGAATATGCATGAAATACTTCCTACTGGAAGTTACGCAAGCTAAAAACAGTACAAAATATGTATTTGGGTGAGATAATAGTGCCTATAGAATGTAATATATACATTGTTCCCCCATTAAATCTGAGCTGAGAACAGGGAGGAGGGAGGCAGCTACTCATTTTGCTTTAATAAAGAAGTCTTGGTGTTTTGTCGTGTTTTTGTTTTTTATTTTATTTGGGGGGGGGGGGGGGGGGGGGGGGGGGGGGGGGGGGGAGGTGGCGGGGGAGTTGATGAAAAGTGAAAGGGTCTTACTAAAAAAGTTAAATATGGAAAAAAAATATTCAACACTACTATTTTTCATAACTGAACAATTCGATTAAGAAAGAAAATAATTGCGTGAAAAAATAATTATATTCATCTGATATGTTTACAAGCTTTGTATAATATCGAGGTGTAACTCTTCAGGTACAACAATTTTACTGTCACTTTCAAGTTCAGCACAAATGAATCGTATTGCACAGGAATAGCAAATCGCAGTTTTACGCTTCACAAGTTTGAAAATTAACGGTTGATTTTTTATCCTCTCGTAATACAGTCCTTTCACAACTTTGGAACCTCGGTTAAACGAACAACCCCAGTCATCTGAAATATTTTTTTTTATAATGTGAGGTCTTTTTGACACTTTTAAAAGATAATACTCATAATCAGTATCGTCTGCCAAAACCGCAATTATCATGTCCTTTTCAACAATGTCTTCAATTATATTATCATTTGTATTGCAATGGTCATCATTTTTTTCGGAATTCGAGTTATCATTTTGAATCATTTTCACTCTTTTGGAATTTCCTATCAATTGCGTTTTCTCACACTCGTTTATTGCTCCATTTAAACAGTTATCACAATTATAACACGATAAGTCGCGGACAAGAAGATCTGTAGAATAATTTGTTGATATGATTTGGTGTATCTTGCGATTTTGATCCACGGGTTTAAAGTTTATATTATGGAGACGAGGAATTTCAGCAATGTATTTGAATAGCCGTTTTTTATATATTCCACTCTGTGGATTCTGGAGATTTTTCTGAGCAAAATCATAAAGGTCACGCGCCGTCTGAATTTTAGTTTTACCCCGGAGCACGGCGGAGTCCGCTTGATTCTTTAGAAAACCACCGGCAGCATCGTGTGGGCCTTTGCCATGCGAGGTTTCAAAATAGTTTCTAATTAAAACGTCGTACCCTAGATCCGATCTATGTGTACAAACATCGCCCATACAGTTTCGGCTTTTATACTGAGCACTGCAACCGTCGGTAAATTCATGCATAATCTTAATTTCAGCAGATATCGATTTCACGTATTTTGAAATGAGAGTTTGGACATATCCAGTATAGTGACGGTCATGATCCAAGTCTGGACTAATGACAAAAAACTGTTCACTAACTATTACCGGTGAATCTAATGTACTGTCGATCCCGTCTACCTCAAGAATAGCATGCCTGCTTAAAATTGTAACGTGTATGCTAACCTCGGTTCTCTGAAAGTATGCTGACTGGATTTCAGTCCGTTCGGAACATCGGTAGTTCTCAGAGAAATCGTGAATACAAACTGCGTGATTGGTTGGAAGATTTTGAACAATATTTCTATACTGTTCACTTTGCCAGTTAGCTCTATTTTGATGAGCTGGAAAAGTTTCGAGTAGTGATTTAAAATGGTTAAACATTTCGCCAGGTTTTGTTTTTTTACTAACTAACATAAGTTTTGTTCTTGTTTTTCTGCCTTTCACGTTTATTTCAGTGTATTCAAATTTTTCCCACTTAATGTCGCGAGCATTTCTAGATATGTCTAGTTCATAGTCGTGGAAGGACAATTTTTCAACTCCACATTCTTTGCAAGACCGATTTAAACACTTTGCGTGCGGTGCAGTCTTATCACATAAAGTGTCAGCACATATGTCATTTAAATGTTCAAAAACTGGTAAGTTCTCTTGGGTCAAGTCCAGATTACTTGCATGCAAATTTTTCCGAAATTCCATACATTTCTTAAAAAGAATTCGAACCTCTATATGCTGCCGACAACAACATGTATTGCGATGTTTTTGTTTGACTGGCATCACGAAAAACGGCTTGTAACTTTCAAACAAACGTTGTGATATTTTAAAATCTGGATATTTCGCTTTGAACTCTAAAAACACTTCAGTTTGCGTTTTTTCGAGCAGGTGTATTTGATGAGAAACATATTCATGAGGCCCTATCCGTGAGCGTTTCACGTCTGTTTTGTTAGAACTTGTGCGCGAAACCATAGGGGATATCCAGAAATCATAAGCCTGTTTTTTTGTTTCATCAGATGTAATGTCAGATCTTGTTTTCCTCTTTGTGAATTCGTAACAAGATTTTTCTGATCTCAAAACAGAAGTGCGAATTCTTTGACCACCAGAAAGTCGCCGCGGCTGCAATCCCAACTTACGCGCTGCTTTGCTTTTTTCTCCTTTTGAAATTTTTTCACCGCTGACAGAAGCCGATATTACATGCATAGCGTTACGTGCATCAGAATTTCTTTTCTGTTTTGTTTCATGTATGAATCCCTTCATATTTTCTAAGACCTTTTCAGAGAGAGATGGACTCTGTCGTTTTAAAGATTGTGTTGCTGTTGGTGAAATACACAGATAGTGTTGTAGTATAGCTTGTTTTTTAATTGGAGATGATGGTAGAGCGTCCTTAAGCCTTTTCAGTGCCCTGCATTTGGCCATCTTATTTTTAAATATTGCATTTCGAATTTCGTCATTTTGATTATTTGTTTGTTTTGCTTTTTGTGTTTTGTCTCGTGATCGACGTTTATATTGATTCTGTTTTACTTTCTTTTCTTTGATTTTCTGCCTTTGATTTCTTTTATATAAAGCGCTTTTGGACACCTCACTTTTCGGACTTCTGATTCGGCTTGCGTTGTATTTGTCTTTATATTTATTGTAACTTTTATTTTTCTGCTCTTTTCTTTTTAGTTTCTTCATCTCTTTATAATATTTAATTCTCTCTGTTCCGGACATAAAATTCTTCTTTTCTGCAATTAATATTTTACCTATTTATTGACAAATTACCATATTTGTTTCATTTTAGGTAATAATTTAATTTCTTTTTGTTAAATACTACTAGTATATATTTTTCCTTTACAGTTGTTATCTTCGTTTCTAACATAGCCGTATAAAGTTATTTCGATACTTGAACAGTTAATAGCGAAATTTATAAGTTTGTTATTCTGTTTTGTCCTCTGATCTTAACATGAAATCGAACCGTACTTGTTACTTGAAAACAATAGATTATCGTTCATATATTATATGATAATACGAAAAGCTTTCAATTTCGATGGCCTAGATGGGTGAGTGGCCTTAGGGGTTCATATAGTGATCACGAGCCTGGCGATTTTAAAATACGCTCGTGGCGAAATTTGTTGGACTCCGATCCTAATTGACAGTTAGTGTCAGTCATCTAACCGAAGGTCGCCTGATGTCCGGCTTCCTCCACCTATTAATAAAGTTCGATAAAAGTCGCTTATAGTGGCGTTCAACACCAAAACACAAAACAAACATTTAGATTTAATTTGAAAACACACATATATATAGCGTCCCGAATCGACAACGTTCAAAACGTAAGAAAATTGTAAAGTGGACAAACTTGCAAGACATTGGATTTGTTAAAAAACGAAGTCGTTTCGACTTAACAACTTATCAAAAATTATGTAACTGTTATGTGGGGTTAAAGTACAATTACGCAAAATCACTATTTTGTATGCTACAAATCGAATATTTTATTAAATGACGTCGAAACTGACAGTTTACTTGTAAAAAGCGGCGAAATTCGACATTGGACATTCTTGCAAGACATTTGTCCAAAGCCAATGCGTTTTTATTTGTGATGTGAGTGCTGTAAAAATCCGGATTTGAAATGGTCTATCTATGTACTTTTGTGGGAATAATTTATGAAAACGAAATTTCATATCAACTTATATTTTAAAAAGCCATAACTTTTGATAACTTACCATTTTCTGAAATCTGACCATCGTGAAGATTATTCATTTTTGAAAAAAATCAGCTTTGACCGTTGCATCAACGCAAAAATCAGCAATGACGTCATAAATTATATATGACGTTTATCATTCATGCGAATTTTCGCGGATTTTACACTCTTTCTAAGACTAAGAGCACAAAAATTCCCGTAAAAGTTATTATGCGTATAATTTGTTACGTCTGACACGCATATTTTTGACGTTTTGACAATATTTGTATCATTATTTTATACTATTATGAAAAGTTATAAAATAATGTTTTATCTTTTTGGAAACAGTAATACCTGCCTAGTCGATGGAAATAAATTTTATAAAGCTTAACTATTTAGATTTCAAAGAAGAGCTGTTTATCCAAGTGCTCTGTCGGATTTCACGGCATTGACGCAATAGCGTGCTTAACGTCAAAGAATAAATATCTTTGAAAACTAAAAATTTAATATCCAACCTAAAATGCCTCCCTGAACATTGATATAGAACATGAATCAAACACAATCAACATAATTCACCACCGAATTTCAAATATTTATCTTCCAAGAAGTTACCAATAGGCATGCTCAGTCATTTTATGTTATTCTAGCTTGCAATGCTCCAAGTCTTGCAAACATATAGAATTGTTACTAGCAATATAGAATATAAGATTTCTGCAATCTAGCTGCAAACATCCCTTATATTCTAATTTTTCCTGTGATCTTGCCGCAAAAAGCTGCAATGTTTGCAGGAGGTTTGCAGCTAACTGCAAACATCTGCAAACATTATAGATCTGCAGCAAACATTTCAGTTCTGTAAGGGTTCAAAACAATTCTTTTGCGATCGTGAAAAGTAGATTTTTTTCTGTGTTTGCATTACAATTAATCAATGTAATAATTATGAGCAGCTGATATTATATAAATAGGGTGATAGATATTACAGTTTTACTTACTTAGACCTGTGCCCATTTAAACAAGATATCTTCAACAGAAATGAAGGAACCCCATCCACACATTCGTACATGTTTGCACGAGAACCGGTAAAAGCATGTGGTTTAAAGTTCTGCTATACTGGTCTATACTTTACTTACCTGGTCTTGTGTCCATTTAAACCAGATATCTACAGTTCTACAGTTTACTAAGTTACTTGGGCTCGTGTCCATTTAAACCAGATATCAAAAGTTCTACAGTTTACTTACCTGGGCTTGTGTCCATTTAAACCAGATATCTTCAGTTCTACAGTTTACTTACCTTGGCTTGTGGATATTTAAACCAGATATCTACAGTTCTACAGTTTACTTACCTTGGCTTGTGGATATTTAAACCAGACATCTTCAACCATACCAGCACTATTACTTCTTATTCGATCGAAGGCTTTCCGCTCACTTTCTGGGAGTTGATTTGAAAAATAGCAAGAGTTTTCAAATTGCACCCAATGTTTCTCACATCCTAGAGCTGAAACTAAAATGTCTGAAAGATTACAAAGAAGTAATAGACTTGCTGATGACTTGCCTACTTTTATAACAGGATTAACAGATGCGGATCCAAAATTTTGAAAAATGGGCATCCCACCAATATGACAACGTAAAGAGTGGGACTTAAAGAAAGTCTATGCAATAACCATGTATTTAGTTCCATAAAGGGGAAGGGAGGCGACTCCTTACTCTAAATCCGCCCCTGATGATAAACTTTGATATCTTTAAATGAATAGTTTAAGTGTCATTTTTAAGCACACCTGGCCTTCTACTTCTTCTAGAGAACCACTGTATGGAATGAAACCAAACATGGCATGTGTGTTCCTTATGAGGTACTGACCAAGTGCTGTTACTTTGTAGCCGATCCATCATCCAAGATGGCCGCCATCGGGGGACATAGTTTAACATAGGACCCTATGGGAAATACATACAAATGTCTTCTTTTAGAGAACCACTGAATGGAATGGAACCAAACATGGCATGAATGTTCCTTATGAGGTGCTGACCAAGTGTTGTTACTTTGCAGTCGGTCCATCATCCAAGATGGCCGCCAGCGGGGGACTTAGTTTAACATAGGACCCTATGGGAAATACATACAAATGTCTTCTTTTAGAGAACCACTGAATGGAATGAAACAAAACATGGCATGAATGTTCCTTATGAGGTGCTGACCAAGTGTTGTTACTTTGCAGTCGGTCCATCATCCAAGATGGCCGACAGCGGGGGACTTAGTTTAACATAGGACCCTATGGGAATTACATACAAATGTCTTCTTTTAGAGAACCAGTGAATGGAATGAAACCAAACATGGCATGAATGTTCCTTATGATGTGCTGACCAAGTGTTGTTACTTTGCAGCCGATCCATCATCCAAGATGGCTGCCAGTGGGTGACTTAGTTTAACAAAGGACCATGTGGGATATACATACAAATGTCTTCTTTTAGAGAACCACTGAATGGAATGAAACCAAACATGGCATGAATGTTCCTTATGAGGTGCTGACCAAATGTTGTTACTTTGCAGTTGGTCCATCATCCAAGATGGCCGCCAGCGGGGGACTTAGTTTAACATAGGACCCTATGGGAAATACATACAAATGTCTTCTTTTAGAGAACCACTGAATAGAATGGAACCAAACATGGCATGAATGTTCCTTATGAGGTGTTGACCAAGTGTTGTTACTTTGCAGTCAATCCATCATCTAAGATGGCCGCAAGCGGGGGACTTAGTTTAACATAGGACCCTATGGGAAATACATACAAATGTCTTCTTTTAGAGAACCACTGAATGGAATGGAACCAAACATGGCATGAATGTTCCTTATGAGGTGTTGACCAAGTGTTGTTTCTTTGCAGCCGATCCATCATCCAAGATGGCCGCTAGCGGGGGACTTAGTTTACCTTAGGACCTTATGTGAAATACATACAAATGTCTTCTTTTATATATATAGATAACAACTGAATTGAATGAAACCAAACATGGCATGAATGTTCCTTATGAGGTGCTGACCAAGTGTTGTTACTTTGCAGTCAGTCCATCACCCAAGATGGCCGCCGGGGGGGGGGGGGGGGGGGGGGGAATGAGTTTAACATAGGACTCTATGGGAAATACATACATTGTCAAATGTCTTCTTTTAGAGTACCACTGAATGGAATGAAACCAAACGTGGCATGAATGTTCCTTATGAGGTGCTGACCAAGTTTTGCTACTTTGTTGCCGATTTACTGTTCAAGATGGCCACCAGGATATTTTATTAAATAACGGGACCAATATTAAACCAAATTTGGCCTCAATCATTATTTGGGTATCTGTTATGACTTTTATCTATCTTTACATGATTTCTAAAACCAAAGTAGAGTCAGGTGAGCGACACTGGCTCTTGAGAGCCTCTAGTTTAGATATAATATGTGAAATTGACACACAAATTTCTTACCGAAAGTACTGTCAGATAGTTATATATTATTTTTATAATAATACTTTTTATTGCAAAATAAGTTAAAAACCTGACAGGTTAAAATGCAAGCATAATAGACATGTACACAAGAAACACAGTCTGTGTCAAACTGTTTTAGGGTTTGTCTGTCCAATAAAGAAATTTGATTTGACTATTATTCTACCATATTTTCAACTAAAAAATCTTTAAAAAAAATTGTCTAGCCGAAAGATTTTTTGTCTGACATTTTGTCGGTTACACAGAGTCGGGGATACATTGGAAACATATAATACACGAAAAAAGTTCGAAACAAGTGAAGTTAAAATTAATAATATATAAATATTTATATATAAAACGTCTGAATAATAGTCAACGATCTTTCCCACGAGGGCGCTGGAAACGTTTATTGACGCAATCGTTCTTATAACATCGTTACTGTCGTCAGGCCACACCAATTTGATTTGTAGTTCTTCGGACAAAAGCTCCAAAAAATATGGGGCGAGCGATATGAGGAAGTAACAATTTATGGAGATAATTTCCATCGGTCAAATTTGAAAAATGTAAGTTTGTACTAATTGTCAATAATTATTGACATTCTAAAACATATAAATATTTATTTCACAAAAAATATACGCACGTGTCGATCGTTGCTTTATACTGATAGAAAGATAGTCACAATTAATAATATGTATTTTGAAAATAAGACAAAAACCTCCAGAACTGATCTGATTTAAATTCAGGGCCCGTATTTATTCCGAACGGACGGATTTTTCTACATGTTCTACGCCTGATAAATTAATACTACGATTGGATATCGATTTATGCATATCAGTCCAGGGGTGGTGTTCTCGAAGCTATCTTAGGATTAGGACGTGTCCTAAGTCCATCTTATGACACGTCTTTGTCCTAAGTCGTGTTCTTGAAGCTCTCTTAACTAACGATATTTCGCATTTTTAGTCCTAACTTTAGGACACCTAATTAGGTGTCATAGCTTAAGATCATCTTATCTTAATCCTAACATAATAAAGTTGTGATTTCACTTTTTACTCATATTTTTACCTGATGAACATGAGATGAAACGCACCGTCGGTTTTAACTCGTATCTAAAGAAATAGTGCATGCTATTAAACTTTAAACTTAGTGTTAACGATAACACTACAAAATCAATCCCCATTCGTTTAAATTACAATCCTTTTTGATATAATTTTATTATTACTTTTAAAATCATGTACTGTATTTAATCATATCCATGTTATTATAAAATACGTTAACAATTTTATTAATTGGTTTCGTCATTAATAAATGTTTTATCAAAAAAAATACTTTGACGATTAAAAATTTTGCACTTAGAATATGTTTAGGATGTCCTAACATAAGATGCGTCTGGGATAGCTTCGAGACACAGCGTAAGAGTGTCCTAAGATGATCCTAAGTCCATGATAAAATTGGTCTTAGGATGTCTCTTAGGACGAATCTTAGGATAATTTCGAGAACACCACCCCAGATCTATATCTAACTTGCTTTGCTTCGTCAAATCACCGATTTATATCAAAATTAAAGAACCTTAGTGAGCATGCTCACATACCCCACGTCCCCACATTGTCATTGGAGAAATTAAATAAGTGTAACAAAAAAAAAATTGTATAAGAAAAAATATTGAATAATAATTTCCTGTCAATATGCACATCTACATAGTATGTCCTTCTTATCTACAAAATTTCATGAAATTCTGTTGTGTGGTTTCAGAAGAGTGGAGATTACAAACTGTTGCAGAAGTACATTGAAGCAAATAAGTTCAAAGGGGCGTAACTCCAAGAAAAAAAAATGAATCGTAATTTCCTGTCGATATGCACATCTACGTAGTATGTTCTTATTATCTACAAAGTTTCATGAAATTCTGTTGTGTGGTTTCAGAGGAGTTGAGATGACAAACTGTTGAAGTAGTACCTTAAAGCAAATAAGTTCAAAGGGGTGTGACTCCTAGAAAAAAAATTGAATCGTAATTTCCTGTCGACATGCACATCTTCATAGTATGTCCTTATTATCTTAAAAGGTTTCATGAAATTCTGTTGTGTAGTTTTAGAGGAGTTGCGATGACAAACTGTTGCAGTAGTACATTAAAGTAAATAAGTTCAAAGGGGCGTAACTCCTAGAAAAAAAATTGAATCGTAATTTCCTGTCTATATGCACATCTACATAGTATGTCCTTATTATCTAAAAAGGTTTCATGAAATTCTGTTGTGTGGTTTCAGAAGAGTTGCGATGACAAACTGTTGCAGTAGTACATTGAAGCAAATAAGTTAAAAGGGGCGTAACTCGGTCTCCTAGAAAAAAAATTGAATCGTAATTTCCTGTCGATATGCACAACTACATAATATGTCCTTTTTATCTAAAAAGGTTTCGTGAAATTCTGTTGTGTGGTTTGAGAGGAGTTGCGATGACAAGAAACAGGACTGACGGACGGATGGACGGACGGACGGACGGACGAACGGACGGACAGACTGACGGACGGACTGACGGACGGACGGGTGAAAAACATTATACCCTCCGCAACTTCGTTGCGTGGGGTATAATTAGAAGGTTCTAGAACAGCAATTCGTCATCACATTTGTTAGTTATATTGTACATGTATAACTATAATGCGAACCGTGTGAAATAGCACGTGAAATTTCAACTAAGCGTGAATACTTTGGAAAAGCGACTGTTCTATTTGTACATATTGTCAATTTCAAGTTCTGTTTCGACATGCATTGTAATAAATGTCACTGGATGTTAAAATTACATCATCAATTTCGTCTACGTCAACTATTGCTGTTGGTTTCTCTTTTTTACATATACGTGTATACACTGCAATTTATTCCTATGTTATTTCATTTAGATATTTAATTCAAAGTGAGTTTTAAAGATGAAAGTCCAATAGGCTGACATAGTTCGATAATGCTTCGAATTAAATATAAACTGAGACTATATATATATATATATAACTGCCATATTCCGAATCCCTGACATTCATTTGTGTTAAAGAAGAAAAGATAAGAATGATCAGTATCTG